CTACAAACCCCAATGAGCAGCACCATCCCCAGAATTTCCTACAAACCCCAGAACCCAGCGATTCCTACAAACCCCAGGGAGCAGCACCATCCCCCAAATTCAAATATTCCTGCAAACCCCAGTGAGCAGCACCATCCCAGAATCCAGGAATTCCTGAAAAACCCCACAATCCTGAGATTCCTACAAACCCCAGTGAGCAGCCCAGTACAATCCCCAGAATCCAGATATTCCTGCAAACCCCAGTGAGCAGCACCATCCCCCAAATCCAGGTATTCCTACAAATCCCAGTGAGCAGCACCATCCCCCAAATCCAGATATTCCTACAAACCCCATAAGCAGCACCATCCCCACACCTCCTGCAGTGCCCCTGCCCTGCTCCTCCCATGCTCTGGATCCATCCCATATCCCAACCCAGGGTCAAACCAGGCTCCAACCCCATCACAAACACCACAAAGCCCAGCTGGAACCCCAAATCTATGGGATCAGCCCCCCACCACCCCAATCCACAGCAGATTCCTCCTGTTCCATAAATTCCCCTCTTCCCAGAGTGGCTCCCACACTATAGGAATTTAGAGAAATCCAACTTACAAACCCACAGAGAGCACCCCCGAGCTGCCTGCGGGGTTCAGGGGCAAGAATTACCCACGGGAGGCTGCAGAGGAAACAGAGCAGAGCTCAGAGTGCATCCTACAAGAGGGAGAGAGGAAAAAAAGGAAAAGAAAAGAGGGAAAAAAAGGAAAAGAGGGAAAAGGAAAAGCAGCAAACACAGAATGGACAGAAAAGAGGGGAGGACAAGCCCAGGGCAGGTTTGTGTCCCCGCAGGAGGTGGCAAAAGGAAGGGGCTGCAGTAAAAAACGGGGACAAAAAGAATATTTGGGATTTTTCCAATCTGGTTTTAGCCCRGATGGAAAACCCTTCCCAGAATTAACCCCACTGCCAAAAACCCTATGGTGGCACCAATGGGAACTCCCAATTCTGACTCTGCACCACCATTCTCAATGGGGGATTTTTACATTTTGGGGCTGTTTCTGTGGGGTTTTTTTTCCCCTTAAAGGAGTCCTGGATGATCTCCACACAGACCCCGCTGACAATCCTGGGAATAATTTGGGATTTTGAGGGTGACAGGGAGCAGAGGGAAGGTCCCACCTGGACAGATCCCTCCAGTTGTGGCTGCTCAGCCCCTTGTGGAGTTTGTAGGGACGGGAGAGGTCCCGGCAGAGGCAGGGCTTGGCTGCCCAGGCTGTGGTGCCGCGGGCGTTTTACGGGGTCGGCGCTGGCCYGAGGGGTGAAGCTGTTCCTCCTCATCCTCACGGGGCTCTGCTCTGCTCGGGGAAGCTCACCCCACAGCGAGGGATCCAGCAGCAATGCAAAGGGGGAAGCAGAGTTTAAAAAGGCTGCTCCAGAATYCTCATCCCGAATATCCCGGGGACCCCACATGGGGCTGTGCCTTCCCCAGTTTGGGAAAAACCATTTCAGCCATCCTGGAGACAACTGGGAATGGTTCTGGCTGCAGTTTGACTTCCCTTGGGGGTTTTTGTTTTGCTTAGGTGGCTCTTTTTTGGTTTTTTTTTTTGGTTTTTTTTTTTTCTCTCTGCAGGATCAATTTTAGGGGGAAAAGAAAATAAACAAAGAGAAAAACTTTCCCTTCTTCAATCAATTTAGGGGGAAAATAAACCAAAAGAAAATTCTCCCTTCTTCAGTCAATTGAGGGGAAAAGAAAATAAAGAAAGAGAAAACTTTCCCTTCTTCAATCAATTTAGGGGGAAAATAAACAAAGAGAAAATTCTTCCTTCTTCTAACAGTTTAGGGGAAAAATAAACAAAGAGAAAATTCTTCCTTCTCCAATCAATTTAGGGGGGAAATAAAGGAAGAGAAAATTCTTCCTTTTTCCGATCAATTTAGGGGGAAAAGAAAATAAACAAAGAGAAAATTCTCCCTTCTTCAATCAATTGAGGGGGAGAAGAAAATAAATCAAGGGAAAACTTTCCCTTCTTCAATCAATTTAGGGGGAAAATAAACAAAGAAAAAATTCTTCCGTTTTCTGATCATTTGAGGGGGAAAAGAAAGCAAGAAAAGAGTAAAACTCTCCGTTCTTCAGTCAATTTAGGGGGAAAATAAACAAAGAGAAAATTCTTCCTTCTTCCGATCAATTGAGGGGGAAAAGAAAATAAACAAAGAGTAAACTCTCCCTTCTTCTATCAGTTTAGGGGGAAAATAAACAAAGAAAAAAGTCTTCCTTTTTCCGATCAATTTTGGGGGAAAAGAAAATAAGCAAAGAGAAAATTCTTCTTTCTTCTGATCAATTTAGGGGGAAAAGAAAACAAAGAAAGAGAAAACTTTCCCTTCTTCCAATCAATTTAGGGGGAAAAGAAAATAAGCAAAGAGTAAAACTCTCCCTTCTTCCAATCAATTTTGGGGGAAAAGAAAATAAGCAAAGAGTAAAACTCTCCCTTCTTCCAATCAATTTTGGGGGAAAAGAAAAGAAACAAAGAGTAAAATTCTTCCTTCTTCAATCAATTTTGGGGAAAAGAAAATAAAGAGAAAACTCTCCCTTCTTCAATCAATTTAGGGAAAAAATAAGCAAAGAGAAAACTCTCCCTTCATCCCTTTCTCTGCCCCAAAGCAGCAGTGTTACCCAAGCAAAGCAAAGAACAGAAACAGCTCCAGTGGTGCAG